AACCTTTTTTTTAATTTTTAAATTTTTTATATTCTAATATTTTAATTTATCCATAGAATTCGAAATAAATCTAATCGAGAGAATTTAGACATGACACCGAATAAACAATAAAATGAGAGTGAGTAACTTAGGTGCGCTGGTCATGTGTGGCATCCACCAAGTACAACATCTGTTAGCAGAAGCGAGTTAGTTTAAGTGGAAAGACTAAAAAAGGCACAGCGTAGGCCCAAAATGATGTGGATGGAAATAGTTCGAAAAGATATGGGGACTTATGATCTCATTGAGGATATAACCTTTAATAGAGCAGAATGAAGAATCAGGATTCATGTAGCCGATCCTAATTAATTAGAAAAAAAACTAAAATGATGATGATGATGATTTTAATATTTCTTGAATCACCGATTCGGATTTATTTGCACCAATCTAAATAGCCAATCCAGCAATTTGACACATTTTTGAGGGTGGATGATCACCCTACTAATCCATGCTTTAAAAACTGGTGACTGCAATTCTCATTTGATTTGAATGGAAACCTAACATTACAAGTAAAATTTAGCTTTTCTTACAAATCATTTTGCGATAAAATTTTAGGCACCCCCTTATAAGCAAAAAAAAAAAAAGAATTCTGATAATAAAAATGATCAAAAGCTCCTCTAACTTGCATGCAGGGTGTTTTGGTCATTTTTACTGTCAATAATATTTTCCTTACTTTAGGAGGTACACCCCAATGAGAATTTAGATCAGGGGCATCCCAAATTTCTTCTCAACAGCATTTGCAATAAAAAGTTTAAAATAAAATCATATTAGGCATAGTAATGTAACTAAAGCTTAGCCAACCATTTAGATAAAGAACAAGTTTAAATAATGTTGACGTCTTATATTGTGGAATTAAGAAAGATCCATCGAAAAGGCTCGTTTTGACATCAGAAAACCATTTAATTAATCATATCGACATTGAGATGTATGCATATGAGAAAATATTTTGAGTTAAAAAAAAAATACATCTTACAACACATTATTAGGACTTTTTATTTTTTAATATTTTTATGTGTTTATAGATCTACTTGAACCATTTTTTGGTGTTTTAAAATTTATAATTACAAATAAAAATAGATTTTCAAACGTAATTTTCAACACCTCTTATGACAAAGCTTGAAAGTCCACTTTACTTTCTACAAACCACACCCTTTAGATAATTTGATAAATCGGGTGTCAAATATGTTTTGTCTTATACTTGGGTGGCCCATGTAGAAAAGTTTTCAAGGAAAATAGGGTGAAAACCATGAGGAAAAAGGAGATGCCTTGATGATAATTCGCAAAAGGGTATTTAGAGAAATAAAAGATTTAGAAAATTGAATAAGAGAAAAAAAAAAAAAAAATTTGAGACTCGTCCATGTAAGCTTCAACCATTCACCATTGGTAGCAGGCAGTCCATCATCACTACAAATCAACGGTGAGCGACCTTGTCCCATAAAATATCAAATGTGGTTTTGAAATGAAAGTGACAAAAGATTCCGGGGATTGCAAATATCGCTAGAATACGACACAAATTTGAAGTTCTGACGAAGTTATATATTTTGGTTTCTTTAAGGTTACAATCAATGTGGACCCCATTTTTTTATAATAGTATAATTTATATTATATATATAAATATATAAAAGTTATATAAACAGGCTAGTCTAGAGCGAACGCTTAGGCTAAAAGCATGTAGCGCGCTTTTTGATTCGTGGGTAAAGGTATCTCAACTAACCGTGTTGTTAACTTGGTAAAATGACTTGAGAATCAAGCTCGAGGGCTTATTGCTTACCCCTCTCTAACTTTTTTTTTACACTTGAGACAACGAGGGCTTTGATCTTGCTATCACTGCCTTTGCTCGTTGCCACCGTCATAGTCACGAGTACTAATATATATAACAATATTTTTTGAGTGAGTTATAGCAATTTAAATTTTAGAACTTACGAGGCTTAATCCCCACCGTATATTAATTGATGATGAATAGTGATTGATCCAATTCTTTTTCTCTAAACAAAAGATTTAAGGTTTCTATAGGTTCCCAAGCCAAGCGGTTATCGTGTTTCCCCACCTTCCTTGCCTTCTCTCTAATCCAAACACACGAAGAGCCCAAGCTACTGTGTTTGTTTCCCTACCTTCCCAAGCCACCATCGGCTCTCTCTAAAAACATGGAGACGCTCTGTTGTTTGATTTTGGACTGTTTTTGCAAAACGAGGAGACCATTATTGAGTAGGCTTTGAACCTGTAATGCGTGAGACCATTTTTACTGAGTAGGCTTTGAACGCTTCTAATGAATTTCAGTCGACACCGAAAATAAAAGGAATCCTTAACAGTAGTCTTGTGTGACCACCGAATGTTTTGCTTTTTTAAAGAGCATAAAACCCACTCTCAAATCACTATTTTTTGGCCTTTACGCAGTTGTCACGGAGTTAACAAAGCCACCAAATGGACGGTTAAGATCTTTTGCAAATTCCATCACAGTTTTTGTCCGTGAGAGCGATAGGCTCCAACCACCTTCCCCATTTACATTGACCTCCTGTTCCTGGCTTAGGCCTAGAATCTCAGGGTAGAGAGCGAGAGAGAGAGAATTTCTGGCAATTAGAGAGAAAAATAAATAGTTCCACAATTTAGAGTAAAAATAGAGTTCTCCAGCAATAGAGAGGAAAATATAGGAGCTGGGGGGAGCATGAAGAGAGAGAGAGATTAAGTTTTCAGGGTTTAGGGAGAGAGAGAGAGTAGAGTTCACAAAACTTTCAAGCTTATCATTAGAGGGAATAGAGTTTTCAATGAACGTAGAGGTTTCAAGGCAGAAAGATAAAGAAACAAGTGCTCGATAGTGACAAGGAAAAGCATGAATTAAAACGAGAAAAGAGAGAATTTTGAGGTGGGTTTCCAATGGGTGAACTCGCGCCCCCTCACGTTTTGATATTCCCGTTCCCGGCACAAGGCCCCATAAATTGCATGATCAAATTAGCGGAGCTCTTTGTTTCCCTCACTGACTTTCATGTCACCTTCCTAAACTCGGAGCACAACCACAAGAGACTCGGTATCGGACCCGAGTCTGGATCCCAGAGGGTGAGATTCAAGTCTATACCCGATGGCTTGCCGGAGTCTCACCCGCGCTCGGCGAGTCTGTTTTTTGAATTACATGACTCAATCCAGACTCAATCCAGATCAGTTTTTAGAGAGATGCTGGTAAAGAAAGTAAGGGTGGGTGAGCCACCAGTGAGTTGTGTGATAAGTGATGGGCTCATGCCTTTTGTGGTGGACGTGGGCGAGGAGGTTGGGGTGCCCGTTATTTCGTTTAGAACACTGAGCGGCTGCTGCTTTTGGGCTTTTTTCTCCATCCCTTGGCTAATTGAGGCTGGAGTGCTTCCTATTCTCGGTAATTTCTCGTTCTCTCGATGTACATAGAGGGGATTGATACGATGAAACGCTTTATTTTGATACAAAAAGGTCATAATTATTTTTAATTATTGGATATGAAATCGGGTGAAGTGTGGCACCATCCAATAGTCAATAGTAATTCTAACCTTTTTGTATAAAAAATAAATGATCTTATCAAACACATTTTTTATAGAAAAAAAAGCGTCTTCCTCCCGTATATTCCCTCTTACTTATGCTCTAAGCATCTTCTCTCTATTAGGTATAAAGTTCACTTGTGAAAAAACACCATACATTTTTAAAAGCTTGCTTAAGTAATTTTTTTAATATAAATATTTGGGATTTAATTTGATTTAATTTGTAACATCTAGTTCAATATTCTAAAAAAAAAAAAGAATTTAAGTTCTTAAATGCGTAAATTTTAAATTCTTAAACGCCAAAAATTTATCCAATCTCTATTGTTGTGTGTGTTTGTATTAGTTAGCATAATAAATAAGGGTGCCTTCTCCTCTCCCCATTTCCCTCTCATATTTTTAAATGTCTCTCTCCCTAAAATCCTTTATTGTTGGTTATTTAAGGATTATTTAAAGGGAAATGGTTTGATAGGGCTGCAACCCTATTAAAATAAGTAAAGCCTCACCTAATGACTCATTGAAAATTGTAATTCAAGCATTGGAAAACCTTTACATCAATCATCTCGACTTGAACATTATGGTTATGAAAAAAATTAGGATTTCAAACTCTAAAATATAATGTATATTTTAATAAATTATCTAAACATTTTATTTCGCCCTAAAAATAAATGTTCAAAGATCTACAATATCTTTACAAGTTTTTGAGTTTAAAATTTTATTGTCGGAATTGGAATTGATTTTAGAGCCATCATGGAGATTTATGACTGAAAGTGCTTTCCAAACGAGGATTTAAGATGAGGCTTTATTTAGTTGAGCAAGCTTTCTATGCTTCCCCTACAACATCAAACTTATATACTTCTCCTTATCTAACCATCCATTCTGAATGCAGGGTTAAGATTGCCCCTACTACAATGTCACGTCTCTACACTATTTTTTTTTTTTTTCTACAAACTATTTTAACACCAAATTTTGTACGTCCAATCCTCTATTAAACTCGCACTAGCGAAAAATATAAGAAAAATATTTTTAATAAAATAAAATGATCAAAATACCTCTGAAAGTTTTAAGGGGTATTTTGGTTATTATAGTTTATTTAAAATTTATTTTTAATATTTTTTATAGGTACACCCCAATGAGAAGATGATATATACTAAATTTCACATTTATACAATTTGTACAAAAAACCAAAAAATAAAATACTTTGAAACGTCGGATTTAAAATCAAACGGTAAGTGGCTCTCTTGATCAAACTTGGACAGTTGGATGATAGAGGAAGCATAGATCTGCAGGGAAAAATATATAAACCTTTCCCTAATTAGTTTTCAGAGACTAGGCCTTCTACAAACTACACCTTAAAATGTGCTACTTTTTTAATGAAAATTAGAGATACACAAGAGAGTTGGAATCCGGACATTAAAATAAAATAAAATAAAATAAAAGAAGACACAAAAGTCAAGGAAAAGATCCCTATAATTGGAACTTTGGATCTTGAACAAGCTTCACAAAAACATATCCAAAGTAGGAACTGCCATCAAAAAAAATAATGAGTCCAACAAAATATGTATGAGATTTTATAATGTCAGCACATCTAAAACATACAAAAAAGTTAAATGTTCAAATAGAGCGTTAACAGCATTTTTGACGAAAATACTGTGCCTTTCATAAGGCTTCTCACCATTATTAGAATTATCAATCCACTATGCTCTAAATACTATGCTGAATAAGCCTCATTAAAGTTCAAGCTGAGCCTGTTCAAATAGAGCGTTAACAGCATTTTTTTTTTAATGGTGCCATCTTGAACTTATTTTTTATGTAAAGAAAATTTAGCAAAATACCTATACGAGATGCATTATTTAACACTTTACACATTTGCAACTACTTCAAGTCATAATCATGTGTATTCTGATAGATATTTTGAAATTAAATTAAACAATAATGATAAAATATTAAATTGTTGAACTGTTTTGATAAATTGTCATTTATTTAATAACAAAAATTTATCGAAATATCTTTAAGATACCGATTATTTAACAATTTATCCATGAGCAACCACTCCAACTTTAAATTATGTGTTGTTTTATTGTTATTATGAAATAAAACCAAAAGATATAAATAAAATGTTAAATTGTTGAAGTCTTATAGATAATTTGATTAAGGGTAGAGTTTGTATAAGGTGCCATTTTATATTATACAAGTAAGGTGCACCTCTAAATTTTATCGGAAGATGCAGTGTTGGTGTCTGGAACCTTTAAATGACTTGAAAATTTATGTTCAACCTTAATTATGAAATTCAAACTTTGAAAAATAGTTCAAATTGAGTAGATTTATTAACTTTTGAAAATCTTAAAAATAGACTGTCCAGATCACTTATTACAAGATGTACTAATTTTAATACTTGAATTTTTCTTCTTCTTTATATACATACATCTCGAGAACAAGATGATCAATTAGATAGTTTTACAACTTCAAAACAGTTTTTTCGATTGGATGTTTTAAGTGCATCTTACTTAAATGAGTTAAACAAGTTGGCATTAGGTGAGATAACGTCAAAGGACTATTGAAAAATTGAATGAGAGTTACCTAGTACCAACTACCAACCACTTGACCAAAAATATATTTATTATTTATCGAAACTTAAACAATAGGCACTATAGTTTGAGAATGGCCTTGGGCCTTGGTAGTAGTATTGCCGAGCCATCATCAAAAAGTAAAGCCCAAATCCTCGCTAACTTACCACTTTTTTTTTGTACTCCATTATCATCAAAGGGTAGGGGCTCAAATCTCCACTGACTTGCCAGAACCCAAGTTTAACTGGTTAGCTCTTGACAATTTGTATCACTACGTCCTAGGCTCAATTCCTACCAAGGGAGGGGCCCTCTCCCCATTGACACCCCCAAAAGAAAAGAGTCAAATGCATGACTCACCTTAGGGACCCTTGAAATACCCATTTTGGACTTTCTCTACTACGAGGATGCATGAGTAGATTCGCTTTGTTTCTTTTTCTTTGTGAAAAAGTGAAAGGGAAAAGATTTGGATTCTGTCCATTTCCTCCCATGGTAAAACATGCTATGGATACTTTTTTGGATCTCAAACTCTGAAGATATAATCTTTACAACTCATAAAACAATCTCGACAAAAAAAAAAAATCAAAATAAACTCTCTATGTACGAGAAAAAATGTATGCCCCCTGATTGACTAGAGACCATTCAATTTTTGAAGGGCTTAATCTAAGCATCACAAAAAACAAAATTCAAAATTCAAAATTTTTCTTTTAAAAATAATCATCTGTAATTAATATGTGTTTTCCAAAATTTTAGACTAAGAAACTTCTTCTAAGTAGGAGTTTTGAGCGAGGGAGGAGATGCACAAAATCCTCCCTAAAGAGGATATTATATACGCTTGAAGTGAAAATTCACTCCGTTAAATTTGGTAAATATCATTTAATCAAGTCAAAAATATATTTTTGATGAATTAGAGAAAAATACAGCTGTTGTGAAGTAATATGAACGAACTTATTGATAAAGGAAAAATTTTATACAAGGCTATTTTAATTTTGTCATAATCTACAATGTCCATTTTAATTGGAAAATGTAGATTTACTATATCTCAAAAGACATGTTAAATCTATAACATTCAACTAAAACGAACATTGTAGAATACTAACCTTCTATAAGCTTGCCACCTTACCTAAGCAAAAAATTATATGTGAAAAGAATGGTTGTCCGTGCAGGAGCCTGCTCTCAATTTGTTGCCTCAGGTAAAAGCTATAGAGTATTTTTAGGACCCCAAGTTTTCGTGATGCAACTAACCAACCTCCAAAAGGGAGAAATTTATGCTCATATCCACTTAAAAGTAATGTTATTACCATATTCCCTCAAATTTTTATTGTTTAC